TGGTAACCACTAATCTCTTTTCCGCTATATAAATTTTCTTCAAAAAACCCATATTCCTCTTGAAAAAAAAATCAAAACTAAAAGAGGAGAGAAAAATGACATACCAATTGTCATATGAAAATTTTAAAGTCATAGCTACCTTTGAATACATTCGGAAGTTCAAGCTGCTCCAAATTGCATGGAATGACATGATTGAAGAGCAAAGAGATATGGCGTTTAAGGGAGTTTGGGATAACATTGAAGGGCTTCATCCCAATCTAAGCACCGAAACGCGTAAACTCTACACTTTTCTTGGATTTTTAGATGGTACACACAACAAACTATTTTTGCAGGTAATAAAAGCCAACGGGAAAATATCCCTTATGGAGGCAAAGTTTTTGTGGTGCGAAGAACGCACTAAGAACATCATAAACAGTGACCAACACGGACAGTTGTCGGAAGAGAACATGACCGACCAAACTGTCCGAGACTTCTTCCTTGAATGCATGACGCCCATTCATCCACAACGTGAGGGGGAATGTGTGGAGAACACTCCTATGTGTGTGGATGATAACGCGTTGGGTAGACAATCTAATAAAGAGAATGAAGAAGAAATGATACAAATCGAAGAAGTCAAGCAAACGGGAGATGTAGAATCGGGTTGCTCAAACAAAGAAGAAGAAGGGAAACACATGGAGTTTGTGAAGGATGATGACCTACAAACGGAGTCAAATAACCCCAAAAATGAGGCATCACCTATGGAGAACTACCTTGCCCCCTTTGTTCTTCCAATAGAAAACCCGATCATGTCCTTCCAATTCATCGACAATAGAGTTTGTCATTCCTTGTTTTCTCCAATTCACTTTGAGTTTATTTTTTCTAATGAAATATTTGGTGTCTTAAGTGTCATTAGACAGAAAATAAAGAATACATTCATGATAGAACGTTGGGATGAAAAACAAATACTCACGGACACAAAGAAAGTCCATATATGGCGACAAGCGTTATTGCATGGAGAAAGGTCCGGAAAAGACATGACATTACCTATGAATTTCAACAACTCCAGGTTTGATAAAATTATTCTCAAATATTATGTTTTTGAACCCGGAGAACATAGTCATGTGTTGCATAATGAGCAAAATATACTAGTAAAAAATACACTTGATCATGCAAAAGGTATAAATGACATGTTTCTACTGTTTAATGAACATTTGAATTATATGTTTTGTTTAAATACAAAATCAAACATTCAACTCATCTTACAAGTGATGTTTCATGTCTCAAGAATATCAAACTTAGCATTCATACATATTAAAGCGTTGTTTTTACTCTTGTTTGACGAAAGACATATCATCGCACTTTTACACTATAACTATTGTTTCAAACGGAGTACCGCGGTCTCCCTTGTGTTATATAACAATTCTCTTGAGCCTATACAGAAAATGAAATATAAAAGAACACATGCAATGGTGGATAAGCCAAAGGAACCGCCATAGGAGATGATCTCACGCTTAAGGGGGAACCGACACAAGCATGGAAACATATACTCGGCAAGATCGACTTCCCGACATTTCTCTAAGTCGATCTTGAGGGGGAATGTTAGTGAAGAAGTTACGGTGGATTATTGGACGACTATAGCTTTGGACATGCATGGATGGTTGGGGACGTGCATGATATGCATGGAGTCAAACAAATATACAATCATATATATTAAAGAAGAGCATAGAAGGAATGGAGAGAAAAGAAATGAACAAAGAGAGATCTTATTGAGATGATAATTCTAGTACAAGAGGATGCTATTTATAGAGAAAGAAAAGAGAAACAATCATTAATAAACTAGCTATTGGAGTTGTACATGTGCAGAAGCATTTAATGAGGTTGTTAGCAGATTTGGAGATGAAGTAAAGTGGTTGTTTCTTGGTGTGCAAGTGCCCAATGCCAATATTGTGATTTAATGCCCTTTTCCTTGTAATCCAAGCAATCCAATGGTACTCGTGCAAATACGACTTCATTTGCATCAACATTCACGTAGAGTCGTCCGAAACCTCCTCTATTTCAACATTCCCCCTCAAGATTGGTTGTGGATAACCAACAAGACCAATCTTTAAAAGGAGTTTGTCAAGGACAAGGGAGTTTGTGGCCTTTGTAAATATGTCTGCGAGCTGATCAGAACTTCTGGTGTACATCGGAGAGATAATTCCTTGATCAATCTTCTCACGAATGAAGTGACAGTCGACTTCAATGTGCTTTGTCCTCTCGTGAAATACATGATTTGTAGCTATATGAATGGCAACTTGATTGTCGCAATGCAGTGGTATCGGTTCGAGTATTTCGATCCCGAGATCATGCAGTAGTGACTTTATCCACATTAATTCACAAGTGATGTTAGCCATGGCTCTGTATTCAGCATCAGCGCTTGATCTTGCTACAACAGTTTGCTTCTTGCTTTTCCATGTCACGAAGTTGCCCCCAACAAACAAGCAGTAGCCCGAGGTTGATTTTCGATCCTTTCAGATATTTGAGGATCCGATCAACCATCTTCCAGTGTTGTGTTGTAGGAGCATGCATCCATTGACTTACCTGATTCATACCAAAACATAAATCAGATCTTGTGATAGTAAGGTAGATAAGCTTACCAACAACGCGAAGATATTGATGAATATCCTTGTAAGATTCCCCCTCGCGTGGATCCTTGTAATTTACTTCAAGTGGAGTTCGAGCAGGTTTTGCTCCAAGCTTTCCTGTCTCACTAAACAAATCAAGAGTATACTTTCGTTGAGATAAAAATAATCCATTTCTTGAACGAGAAATTTTAATGCCAAGGAAGTATTTGAGTTCGCCTAGATCTTTGATGTCAGAAGCCTTTTTCAAAAAGGTTTTAGTATCTTGAATACCCTTTTTGTCACTTCCAGCAATAATTATATCGTCAACATAAATGAGAAGAACTATTATACCAAGGTCTCCTTGAAGAGTAAAGAGAGACTGTTCAGCTTCACTCCTAGTAAATCCATGTGTAATAAGTGCCTTGTGTAGTTTGTGATACCATGCACGCGGGGATTGCTTCAGTCCATAGATTGCTTTCTTAAGCTTGCAAACCTTCCCATTTTCTTGGTCTTCAAGGTATCCAGGAGGTGGCTGCATGTATATTTCTTCTTCAAATTCACCTTGAAGAAAAGAGTTTTTTACATCCATCTGCCACAAATCCCAATCAAGATTAGTTGCAAGAGAAAGAATGATACGAATTGAAGGTAACTTAGCAACAGGAGCAAAGGTTTCAATATATTCTTCTCCATAGGTTTGTGTAAACCCTTTTGCGACGAGTCTAGCTTTGTATCTCTCAATATCACCATTGTTGCGATATTTTATTTTGAAAACCCACTTGCAGCCTACAGCTTTTTTATTTTCTAGAAGGGATACAACATCTCAAGTGTCATTTCTTTCAAGTGCATCGATTTCATCCTTCATTGCACTTATCCACACGTGGTGCTCCTTAGCTTCGTCAAACGAACATGGCTCCTTCTCCTGATCAATTTTACTCAAGAAAACCTGCTCATTATATGAAAAGTTAGAGATAGAATATACTTCTTGAATAGGATGAGCCACATCATGGCCATTGAAATAAACCCATTTTTTGGACCAATCTGAGATCAGAGCTTTTGGTCTTGAGCTTCTTCGAAGAACTTGGTTTTCTTGAGTTCTTAGCCTTGTGCTTCTACGAAGGACTTGAGCATCATGGGAGTTAGCAGACTCGGTGGGCATATTATCGTTATGCTCCTCTTTATTGTCGGTCATGAGTGGTTCTCCCTCTTGTTCAATGGTGTTTAATTCTTGATAATGTGGTTCTTGCACCTCATCAGTTTCATTCATTGGGTCTTGAATTTGCTCTTGGTCTTCACATGATTCACCACTTTCTTGATCTTGGAACTTATTATTTTCGTCTTGATGTTCCTGATTGTCCCTTGATTCTTCATTGAGCCCACTACCATTGTTTGGTTGTTCCTGCACTTCTTTTAAGAGGTGTAATAATGACGCATTATAATCAGGGAAAGAATTTATGAGAGTTTCCAAGCTCTTCCAATCCTTTACCGCAAAGTACCCATTGTCTTCATCAAATGTGACATCTCTTGAGATAAACTCACGTTTGGTTTCAGGTTGATAACACTTGAACCCCTTTTGATTAGTTGGGTAACCAATGAACATGCACTTAAGGTTTCTTGGTTCAAGCTTACTTCTCTGCCCTTCGGGAATTCTAGGATAACATATACAACCAAATACACGTAAGTTATCAATGGAAGCTTTTTGTTTGTACAATACCTTATGATGAGGACATCGGAGCTAGCAACTTGGACGAGGACGGGAGCTTAACGGAAGGAGCTCTAGAAGATATTCAAGACTTGACCCATCAGGCGTCAAGACTCTTGCCGGATGATCATAACGTCACAAGATCATTCAAAGCCGCGGGAACGAGATTTGACGTGCACAACGCGAAGGCTCCCCGAGCAAGCCATAGACCCGAGCCCCCTCTTACTCATGCTAGAGCTCGAGTGCTTCGCGTCATGCTATCCAAGGCTGTCACTCAAGTTTTCACGGAGTCCGGGATCATGACAATAACGTTTCAGTTTTTCGGCCAAGACTTGACCCGGAATGTGTTCCATATCAAGGTCGAAAGCTCTTAGGCCCAATGACTTCGAAGCAGGCCCATAAGCTGCCCAATTCAAGCCCAAATCAAAGTAAAAGCCCAGCCCAATAAATTCTAAGAAGTTCCAACAGCTATATTTTTCAAAATCTAGGCACATTTATGAGTAGTCTTGCATGTGTTTTGTGCATTTAATGCACTAGCTGTTGGAGCCTTTGTTTTCTCTTTAAATATGAGTTGTAAGACATCATTTTGATCAGATTTGGTGAATGAAATTCGAGCTTATGCTTGAGACTTTGTTTGTTGAGAATTTTCTCCAAACTATCTTTCCGTTGGTGTGTCCGACGACGAGCTTCATTGTGTCCGAGTTTTCTTTTCGGTTTGTCCGAATATTATCTATATTTTACCCTTGTTTCGACTTTGGCTTGAGTTCGAGAGCCTTCATAGAAGTGCCGGTGATTGAGCCATCGTCCCGTAATTCCCCTTCGATTCCATCTATTTCCCAAGAGTGAATTCGAGCGCCTCCTTCGCGAGTGCCGGTGATTGCAATTGCGCCATCTCTATACAACTCCGAAGCCGGTGCGTGTATCATTTTGGTATCAGAGCTGCTCAATCCTATGGCCGAGATTCCTCGGTGAGATCGCTCCTTGCTTCTCGCTTCGGTTTTAATTTCGTTCCTAACTTCTAGTTTCGTTCAGTTTGACATATCATCAGTATTTGACTGTTTTGGTTGTGCTAAACTTTGAATTATTTATCGAGCCATATATCAAACTCTTCCTCTTTCAAAGACGAATCCAACCATAGGTCGCTTTGTCTGAAATTTCAATTTTTACACCTCGAAACCATGCTCGTAAACTGACTGAAGAACATCCGACGATTACATCTCATTGCAATCAAACTTAACAACCTATCTCGTGTCTTGCAGGAGATCGATTAGGGTCCTGACTTGGGAAGGCTCTTCGGCGTCCTGAATCACAGCCTTCCCCCACGGTTGTATTGTTCCTTTCATTCACTTTGATCATTTCGAAATCTGTTTGCATTTGTGTCATTACCGAACGTTACTTGTTGCGTGAGGTGCATGTTTTAGCTTGTACATGACATTGTTGCACGTTGAACACTTCTGCTATATTTGTTCGGACTTAGTGCTGCACGTTTTGTTACTTGCATATACCGTGGCTTGCTTTCTCAGTATCGATGGCAAACGTATCCCGTGACAGTTCGGTTTATAGGATGATCCAGCAGATTCAAGATCGTATCACACGACTTGAGGAGGTGAGCAAACCCGTGGAATCTGCTAGGGAGCTAAACAAACAAAGTGAGGGGAAGAGAACCATGCCTAAAAATCGTGCTGCACGTTTTGTTACTTGCATATACCGTGGCTTGCTTTCTCAGTATCGATGGCAAACGTATCCAGTGACAGTTCGGTTTATAGGATGATCCAGCAGATTCAAGATCGTCTCACACGACTTGAGGAGGTGAGCGAACCCGTGGAATCTGCTAGGGAGCTAAACAAACAAAGTGAGGGGAAGAGAACCATGCCTAAAAATCTAAAGAGGCCTCACCATGAACCCCTTGATGATGGCCGATTCAAGGATCCATATGACCGAGAATATCGTCGACCAACTCGTGATGAGAGGGCTGATCCAAAGTTCAAACCTTTCGTGTTTATTGGAAAGGAGGAGCCCGATGTCTATCTTGAGTGGGAGCGCCAAATGGATGCCAATTTCGAATGTTATTCCTTGACGAACCGAAGGAAGATTCACTATGCGGCTGCCCATCTTGCCGAAGATGTCATCATGTGGTGGGAACGAGAAGAACGAAATCGACGACGTGCACATTATGAACCGGTTTCCACTTGGAAGGAGATGAAAATCCTCATGCGAAAAAGGTATGTATCTCGACATTGTCTTCGTGAATTACAATATAGATTTGACAACAATGTGCAGGGAGACAAGACGGTTGATGACTATTTTGGAGAATTTGAACAACTCCTTGCTTACTTGAGAATCGAAGACAATGAAGAAGATCTCATGGCACACTTTCTAGAGGGCTTGAAAGACCGAATCGCTAGAAAGGTAAACCCACACGTATATCGTGACTTGAGACATCTTGTGCATACGGCAATTCAAGTAGAGCGACAAATGAACAAGAAGCCGTCAAAGAATGGGTGCCAACGAATGCCAACGCCAACACTTATACACGGAAACTTTTCCGATACCGGAGACCCAATCAAGGCGCAAAATCGTGATGCTCGAAAGGACGAAACTATCTTATATAAAAGAGAAGTCCACACACGAGGTAACAAAACTTCTTCCTCGTGTACTCATTTTACTTGTGAGGTTTTGTGTTCGGAGTGTAGGAACCAAAGTCATTTGCCCAGTGGAAGTTCCATCCGACAAGAGGTGAGCATCAAGGATAACGGGGTATATAACTCAATCGCGATGGCTGTGGGGAGACACCTTGAGGAAGATTTCGAAGCTCCATCCGACAAGGAGAACAAGAGCGTGACCGAAAAGAAAGAAACGGTCGAGAACCCTGGCTTTGTGAGGGAAACAAAACCCAAAAGTTTGGCAAATGTGAATGAAGAGCGGCAAAATGCCAAGGATGAATGCATACGAGCACAAACACCTACACGCAACAACCTTGTCAAAATCAAAGACCAAGGCAAGGCGACCGATCTTGATGCCCGAGAGGAGGAAACCATCGTGATTCTAAAAGGAGTCACCTCACTAGGTAACAAAACGTTTTCCTCATGTACTAATCAAACTCGTGAGGGCATGTATCACATGTGTAGGAACCAATGCCATGTGGCATGTCATTGTCCCAACCAACGAAAGAATCTCATCAAGGATGGCGGGACATACAAGGCTGATGTAAGGAACCTTGAAGATGAATCCGATGTTACATCCAAAGCGGTAACCGAACATGTAACCAAAGAAAAAGAAACGATTAAGGATTCCGATCTCGTGCTCAATGAAGTACTCAAAAGTGTGATCAATGTCGATGAAGAGCTACATGGCATCAGAATAGATGCTTTAGAAGTGGTTACACGAAATGAGGATTTAAAAATCCTGATCAATTCATCGACAAAGATAAATGACACCTCCAACAACCGTACTTGGATCATAAGTCAAGAACTTGGAGCAAAAACCGGTAAATTTATTCCTATTTTTATTCTTGTTTATGATTCATACTTGGTTGAGAATATATGGGAACATGAAGAAATAATGGCAAAGTTTCAAAAGGAATATTCTTGCGAGCATTTCAAGGAGCACACTAACAAAATTGTTTCCCTAGAAGTTTATCGAAGTTCGCAGGTTCTGAATGTGAAGGAAGTGGGGATTGTTACAAAGAAAGTTTTGACATCTACCGGCCAAATCCCAAAGAGGCCATTCAACGACTTAAGCGAATATATGCAGCTTGCCCACCTTGATACGAGAAGCTTACGCGGTAACATCGTTTTACTCTTTATTCTTGTCTATGATCAAGGAATTGGTACTACATTGCAGATTTCGTGCATGGACGACGAGAAGAGTCCGACGAATCCCACATGTGTGCCTCCACGGTTCATCAGTGCTCAAGGAGCCAAATGCGTCTACCATTGCACCATGAATGCCTCAAGGCGTAACACCATCTTAAACCCAAGGACAATCAAGAAGGATGAACCTTTTGAACGAGGAGAAGCGCGAGAACAAAATCTTCATACACTTGGCGAATATCTCGACAAAACCCGCAATCAAGGTATGAAAAATTTGACTTACGTATTTAACGATGCTGACTTGGACCCGTTTGATGTAGGTAAGCATGTTTTGAGGACAAAACCTTCTCAAGGGGGAGGGAATGATGAGGACATCGGAGCTAGCAACTTGGACGAGGACGGGAGCTTAACGGAAGGAGCTCTAGAAGATGTTCAAGACTTGACCCATCAGGCGTCAAGACTCTTGCCGGATGATCATAACGTCACAAGATCATTCGAAGCCGCGGGAACGAGATTTGACGTGCACAACGCGAAGGCTCCCCGAGCAAGCCATAGACCCGAGCCCCCTCTTACTCATGCTAGAGCTCGAGTGCTTCGCGTCATGCTATCCAAGGCTGTCACTCAAGTATTCACGGAGTCCGGGATCATGACAATAACGTTTCAGTTTTTCGGCCAAGACTTGACCCGGAATGTGTTCCATATCAAGGTCGAAAGCTCTTAGGCCCAATGACTTCGAAGCAGGCCCATAAGCTGCCCAATTCAAGCCCAAATCAAAGTAAAAGCCCAGCCCAACAAATTCTAAGAAGTTCCAACAGCTATATTTTTCAAAATCTAGGCACATTTATGAGTAGTCTTGCATGTGTTTTGTGCATTTAATGCACTAGCTGTTGGAGCCTTTGTTTTCTCTTTAAATATGAGTTGTAAGACATCATTTTGATCAGATTTGGTGAATGAAATTCGAGCTTATGCTTGAGACTTTGTTTGTTGAGAATTTTCTCCAAACTATCTTTCCGTTGGTGTGTCCGACGATGAGCTTCGGTGTGTCCGAGTTTTCTTTTCGGTTTGTCCGAATATTATCTATCTTTTACCCTTGTTTCGACTTTGGCTTGAGTTCGAGAGCCTTCATAGAAGTGCCGGTGATTGAGCCATCGTCCCGTAATTCCCCTTCGATTCCATCTATTTCCCAAGAGTGAATTCGAGCGCCTCCTTCGCGAGTGCCGGTGATTGCAATTGGGCCATCTCTATACAACTCCGAAGCCGGTGCGTGTATCACCTTATAAGGTGATGTATCATTAAGAACTCGTGTTGGCAAACGATTGATCACATAGCAAGCCACTGAAACCGCATCTCCCCAATATTTCTTCGGTACATTCTTATGGAACATTATGGTCCTTGCAACTTCCATGAGATGACGGTTTTTGCGCTCAGCAACCCCGTTTTGTTGAGGGGTATAAGGGCAAGATTTTTTATGCACAATGTCATGTCTCGATGTGAATTCATTGAATTGCCTGCTAATGAATTCTCCTCCATTATCTGTTCGTAGACACTTGATCTTAACACCAAACTAGTTAGACACAAGAGCATGAAAGTTTATAAATGCTTCAAACACACCAACCTTTGTTGGTAACAAAGTTAACCATGTGTACTTAGATTTTTCATCTATGAATGTAACAAAGTATTTATTTTGATCTCTAGTAAGACATGGTGCAATCCAAACATCAGAGTGAACAAGATCAAAGCAATTTTCATAGATAGTTTGTGAATCGTGAAAAACAGAGCGACAATGCTTTCCTAGAATACAAGCCTCACATAACTTATGATCATAAGCAACTTTAGGTAAGAGAAGCTTAAGAGCTTTGTAAGGATGTCCTAACCTAGCATGCCAAACAGAATTAAAAGCAAATGCAGAAGAACAACTTGAGTCTTCAATTAAGTAGAGATTATTCTTCAATGCTCCTTTTCCAAACATATGACCTGACTTAGTATCCTAAAAGGCAACACCATTCGAATCAAATGTGACGGAACAATCAATATCTTTGATGAGTTTTGGGACATAAATCAGGTTTGTAGTGAAATCTGGAACATATAGAGTAGAAAGTTCTTTATCAAACATTGTAATAGTTCCTTGTCCTTTAATTGGTGCATTCACCCCATTAGCAACTGTAATAGATCCTTTGGCCATTTTGATGTTTTTAAAACGAGTTGAATCAGAAAACATGTGATGAATGGCTCCTAAATCAATAATAACAGGTTTATAATGAGAGTTGAAGAAAGCTTTACCATCGTTACCATTCTGCTTGTTGAGATTCATGGTCTGGATGAATTGCTTGATGCATTCAATATTCTCTTTTGTAAAGAGATCATCTTGCGAAGCTTGTATTGTATTGCTTTTGTTGCCTAGGTCAGCGTGCGAAGCATGCATTGCAGCACCTTTGTTGTTTGGATTCTTGAATGGCTTGGATGAATTGCTTGATGCATTCAACATTCTCTTTTGTAAAGACATCATCCTGCGAAGCTTGCATTGCAACACCTTTGTTTGGATTCTTAAATTTAGGTGGTTTGAAATGGGGATCAAGAATCCAACACTTTTTTTTTACATGCCCTGGTTTCTTGCAATGATCACACAACAGGTCTTTCTTTTCCTTTGTATGAAAGTTCGTCTTACGATAGTGAGCAAATTCACTTGATACAGCAAACAGGTTCTTTCCAGCTTCTTCCCTTTTTATGAGCATACACACTTCGTTGTATGCCGGAAGAGTCTTGTTGCGGAGAATATGATAAACCAGACCGTTGTATGACCTATCAAGGGTGAGCAGAAACGAAAATACCTTGTCTTGCTCCATTCTTTCCGTGAGAACCTTGAGATCAGTTGTAAGAGGACGAAACTCCTCTAATTCAGCCCACAACACGTTAAAAGTAGTTTTCACCGTTGAATACAACGGGCACAACACTCAAATCTGATCTTTCCATTGCCAAAACAAATAGAGAATTTGTGCAAATTCAAAATTTTAGCGCTCTGATGCCATATAGAAATCTAGAACAAGCATAGAAGGAATGGAGAGAAAAGAAGTGAACAAAGAGAGATCTTATTCAGATAATTCATTCTAGTACAAGAGGATGCTATTTATAGAGAAAGGAAATAGAACAATCATTAATGAACTAGCTGTTGGAGTTGTGCATGTGCAGCAGCATTTAATGAGGTTGTTGGAAGATTTGGAGATGAAGTAAAGTGGTTGTTTCTTGGTGTGCAAGTGCCCAACGTCCATATTGTGATTTAATGCCCTTATCCTTGTAATCCAAGCAATCTCATGGTACTCGTGCATATGCAACTTCATATGCAACAGCCTTCACGTAGATTCATCCAAAACCTCGTCTATTTCAACACATCCAAACATGTTTAGAGTGCGCCAAATTATACTTAGAGAGCATCCAGACATGTTTAGAGTGCATCGAAACATTTTTAAAGTGCGTCGAAACATGTTTAGAGTACATCGAAACATATTTAGAGTGCATCCAAACATGTTTAGAGTGCTTCAAAACATATTTGGAGTGCGTCGAAACATGTTTAGAGTGCGTCCAAACACATTTAGAGTAAATCCAAACATGTTTAGAGTGCGGCAAAACATAGTTAGAGTGCATCCAAACATGTTTAGAGAGTATCGAAACATTTTTAGAGTTGTCGAAACATGTTTAGAGTGCATCCAAACATACTTATAGTGCATTCAAACACGTATAGAGTGCGTCCAAACTCGTTCAGAGTGCATCTAAACATGTTTAGACTGCATCCACATGTTTAGAGTGCGTCCAAACACATTTAGAGTAAATCCAAACATGTTTAGAGTGCGGAAAAACATAGTTAGAGTGCATCCAAACATGTTTAGAGAGCATCGAAACATTTTTAGAGTTGTCGATACATGTTTAGAGTGCATCCAAACATACTTATGGTGCATTCAAACACGTATAGAGTGCGTCCAAACTCGTTCAGAGTGCATCCAAACATGTTTAGAGTGCATCAAAACATTTTTAGAGTGCGTCAAAACATGTTTAAAGTGCGTTGAAACATATTTAGAGTACAACAAAAGATGTTTAGAGTTCGTCGAAACATGTTTAAAGCACGTCGAAACATATTTAGAGCGCATCCAAACTTGTTTAAACTGCGTCAAAACATACTAAGAGTGCATGCAAACATGTTTAGAGTGCATTAAAACATTTTTAGAGTGCGTCGAACCATATTTAGAGTGCATCGAAACATGTTTAGAGTTCGTCTAAACATGTTTAGAGTGCATCCAAACATGTTTAGAGTGCATTAAAACATTTTTAGAGTGCATCCAAACATGTTTAGAGTTCGTCTAAACATGTTTTGAGTGCACCAAAACACGCTTAGAGTGCATCCAAACACATCTAGAGTGCATCCAAACATGTTTAGAGTGCGTCAAAACATACTTAGAGTGCATCCAAACATATTTAGAGAGCATCGAAATAAGTGCATCCAACCATAATTAGAATGCATCCTAACACGTTTAGAGTGCGTTTAAACACGTTTATAGTGCGTCCAAACACGTTTAGAGTGCGTCCAAATACTTTTAGAGAGTATCCAAACATGTTTAGAGTTCATCGAAACATTTTTAGAGTGTGTCGAAGCATATTTAGAATGCATCGAAACATGTTTAGAGTTCGTCTAAACATATTTAGAGTGCGTGAAAACACGTTTAAAGTGCATCCAAACACATCTATTCCTCCAAACACGTTTAGAGTGCATCCTAACATGTTTAGAGTGCATCGAAACATGTTTAGAGTGCGTCAAAACATATTTAGAGTGCAACAAAAGATGTTTAGAGTTCGTCAAAACACGTTTAGAGTGCATCAAAACATACTTAAAGTGCATCCAAACATGTTTAGAGTGCATCGAAACATACTTAGAGTGCATCCAAACATGTTTAGAGTGCATCGAAACATGTTTAATGTGCAACAAAAGATGTTTAGAGTTCGTCAAAACATATTTAGAGTGCATCGAAACATACTGAGTGTATTCAAACATGTTTAGAGTGCGTTGAAACATGTCTAGAGTGCGACAAAATATACTTGCAGAGTATTGAAACATGTTTAGAGTTCGTATAAGCACGTTTAGAGTGCAACCAAACACGTTTAGAATGCGCGCAAACAGGTTTAGAGTGCGTCCAAACATGTTTAGAGTGCGTCGAAACATGTATAGAGTGCAACAAAAGATGTTTAGAGTTCGTCAAA